AGAGAGAGAGAGAGAGAGAAGAAAGAGAGAGAGAGAGATTTGAATACCAGTGCATGCATGTTTCTGTGTTTTGCTAATATTTGGCTTTTGGCATGCAGCATAAGAGCTTTGAAGCATGAGAGAGAAGTACTATCGAAAAGGGTGAATTCCCGTTTCACCCCGGAGGAGAGAGAAATGCTTTACTTGAAGTGGGATGTTCCCCTTGATGGAAAGCAGAGGAAACTGCAGCTTGTAAACAAACTGTGGACAGATCCCAACAACATGCTGCACGTGCAAGAGAGTGCTGCAATTGTAGCAAAGCTCGTGGGCTTTTGCGAGGCGGGTCATGTATCAAAAGAAATGTTTGAGTTAAATTTCGTATTGCCTTCTGATAAAAAACCGTGGCTTCTTGGATGGAACCCGCTTTCAAATTTATTACATTTATGAGGATTAGTTGTAGCAGCCCAGGTCCATTCTTTTAAATAAAAATACAATTCATTGAGTCTGTTCCATATGTGATTTTTTCATTTTAAATGTTGTAAACGATTTTGATGTATATGCAATATATGCACACGATATATGCAATATATCGTGTGCAATATATGCACACGATATGTATATGCAATATATGCACACGATATTTTTTTTGGCAATATATTCTCTCCGTAATTTCTTCATTTTAAATGTTGCAAGTGATTTTGATGTTTCTCTTCAATTTAAATGTGTTCTCTTTAGTTTTAGTACGTGTTCTCGTCATCACTCGAGTAAGTATGATGGTACTCAGTTATGGAATTGTATTAATGTACAGGGAAAGTCCTACTCGGGCATGTCAGAAGATGTCTTGTTTGGTTTAAGCCCTATGTGACTTGGTCGTCCCGGATGATATTCTTTCCTTATTTGCCAACAAGAAGCTACTTCCTTGAATGCTAGTTTTCCTTGGGGGAATTTTCCTTCTTTTTTTTTTATTTATTTAAGGTGAGGTCTAACATTTTTGACCTTTTCTATCCCGAACTTGCTCTAGGTTAAAAGTTGCAATATTTAGTGGCATTTTTTTTTTCAAAATTCTCAAGTTTTTTGGCATAAAGGCAGTTTAAAAATGCAGACTTCTAAAACCGCCCCGAGGGTGGCATAGTTCAAATGTCAAACCTTTGAACATACCTCACAACAAAGTGTGGTTGGTGTTCGGGAGTTCTATCCTTGAACCGCCGACCACTTATGTATTTCGAAGTTTAGATCGGTTTGAAGGTTAATGCTTTTTTGCTTATTCAATAAGTGGTTCGAACGTTCCTCTTCAAGTGCTTGAGTTTGTCCGTTTAGAATTTGGGATTGCATACTATGACCATTTACCATTGTTGCAAGGAGGTCACAATAACCTACAACCATCACATATCAAATTGAATGGTTTGGAGGATGTCACATAGTTCGAGAAATTATTTTTAAACTTTGAATCTAGTCAATCACACAATTACAACTACTTGATTTAAAGTTTGATGAACAAGTAACTGTACATTAAATGATATGAACAAGTAACTGTACATTAAATGATAACTGAGTGCAACTTCCTAATTGCTTGATGAAGATTCTCCTTCTTTTAAAAAATTCTGAGTCTTTATATTGCTTTTAGGGTTTTCTTCATCTCAAATAGGGAGTGGAGTCTGGATATTAAGCGATGTCATCAAATTAGGGCTTTTTACCATTTACCTTATGTTTTTTATGATGCTTATATTTTCTGGCAAATTTTGTTGACCCTACATTCATTCGGGAATAATTAATTTATTTTATGGTCTCGATTTGTTTTATGATGCTCAGTTTAGCGTTTATTATTGAATTTTGTTTTCTTAGGCTTTGTATACCGCATTTTTGTGTCTTAGGTTTAGCAACGAGCAATCTGTTACGAATCAGAGAAAGTTGTCCCGTTATTTTTTCTAGTTATAGAGAAACTGTAAATTCTGTGAAGGATGGTTTAGTAATTTATCTTTAATTTTGTTGGGAGAAATTAGTGCGTGCAATTAGCAATTCAAAATTGTATCATTCAACAAATGTAGTGGAAAACAATATGGACAATGTGTTATCTTTGTTAACATTTACAGTTACTGATTGCAATTTTTTTGGTTTGGATTATTAACAAGGGAAATTATTAGAAATACATCTTAATTTTCGCCTAATTGAAAAAAAACCCTGAACTTTCATAAACCTCATCCACAACTTTTTTTCTCAATTTTGACATTTTTTTACAAAAAATAGCCTTCACAGTAGTCATATTACTGTGAAGGCCCTATCATTACGGTACTTTAAGTACCATAATGACTACCATATATTATACCTTACTTTAAGTACCATAATTCCTGAGAGCCTATTGGAAAACTATTAGAAATTTGAGCATTACAGTCTTTTAAATACTGTGATCGTAATTCTTGAAATCCTACTAAAAAACTAGTAGAAATTTGAGCATTATGATATTTAAAGTACCGTAATACTTAGTCTGATCATTACGGGACTTTAAAGACCGTAATTTTAGAAAGCCCACTGAACAATATTAAAGAGATGTTTGCAGATATGGGGGCTCTTTTGAAGTACCTAATAGGCAAAGTGTTGTAGGCTATGAAGGAGAGGTTCAAGAAGGAAAAGAAGGTGATGGTGGAAGTTGAGAAGAGCGATGGGGAAAGTGTTGGAGTGAGTAAGCTTAAGGCTAGAGGCAAAGTGGTGGTTTCGGCAGATGGAAAGGCTCTAAGGTCCTCTGTGAGGTTTGTGGCTAAGAGGGCTAGTCATGCCAACCAGGGGGTGGTCATTATGGGGAAAATGCAGAAAGAAGTCTTAAGTGTTGGAAGTAGTGAGGATAGTGTGACTTTATCAGAGGATGGGGTGGTGGTGAATGGTAGTTCTTGTTTTGATAAAAATCCTTAGTTGGGAATGTAAGAGGTATTGGGGAGTTGCACAGAAAGAGGGAAGTGTTAGCTTTTAGTGAGGCAACCTAGGCTTGAAATTCTTATTTTGCAGAAAACAAAACTCCCATAACCTTTAGCGAGTAGTAGAAGTAAGGGATGGGCGATCAATTGGTTTTGTTGAGGTAGATGCTTTAGAATCTTTTGAGGGTTTATGGGTGTTATGGGATCCTTTCTTTTTGTCTTGTGTCAATGCGATTGACACTAAACGTGTCATAGATGATATGGTCTTTGAAGGTCCCTCTTAGTGGTTTTAAGTGGGTTTTGTTTAATGTTTATGAGCCCAATGTAAATGCTTTAAAAGAGAGTTTTTTTGGTGGAAATTTCTTCTTTGGCAAATTCTTTTAATTTACGTTAGTTTGTAGGGGTATTTTAATATGATCCAATGGCTAGATGAGATTTCTGCAGAAAAACCAATGAATTCGTCAATGAGATGCTTTAATAATTTCGTTCTTCAAACTGAATTAGTTTATATACATGTTAATGGAGTGAAGTATACATGGTCCAATAATTTCCAAAATAATTGGAGAATGAGTAAATTAGATCGTTTTTTATCTTTGGGAGCTAGGAGACTGTTTATCCTTTGCTCCGTGTTAATGTCCTCACTAAATTATCCTAGATCATGTACCACTTCTTTTGCAAACCGAGAAGAATTTCAGATGACTAAAACCGTTTCGAATGGAGAGAGTTTGGTTGGAAGAGATAGAGGTGGTGGACTCCATAAAAAATACATGGAATAACACAATAGTGTATAGATGGTTTAGATTTTAGGTTCATACAAAGCTGTTAAACATACGGGCAAGCTTTTTATGTTTCTCCACCAGCATAAAACTAATGTACTTCCTCTTATCTTACCGTCCATTCTAAATGGACGGTTGAGATGGCCCCAATTACAATGTCACGTCTCTATACTATTTCATTTTTATTTTTTTCTATAAAATATTTTTATACCAAATTTTGGGTGTCCACTCCTCTCTTAAACTCACACTTGTAAAAAATATAAAACAAATATTCCCAATAAAATAAAACAACAAAAATATTTTAACAAGTTTTAAAGGGTATTTTGGTCATTATATTTTGTCAAAAAATTATTTTTAATATTTTTTTTAGGTGAGCCCTATTGAAAAGATGATACATCCCAAATTTCATACTCAATTTTTCAAAAAAAAAAAAAAACTAAAAATAAAATACTCGAGGTGTCAAATTTAGATCCATTGGTAAATGTCTCATTTGATCTAAATTAGACGGCTGGATGAGAGGGGAAGCATATATCTTCTATGTTGTAGGGGAAGTATACAAATCTTTCCTTTAAACATTAAACATAAACTATTATAATGGAAAAAGGAGATCAATTTTTGTGTTAGAAATAAAATGGTTGAGATTATGAGGCGTCTGATTAAATTGAAATATCTATCCAAAACAAAGGGCTTACTTCTAGGGAGGACGAAGAGAGATAGGGGTTGATGTTTAAGTTAACTAAGAATGTTAAGTTTTGAATAGATGTACTGAAAGCATCGATTAAGTGGTTGAAGGAGGGGATGCCTATACACATTCTTTTCATGCAATAGCAGATTCAAGGACAAGACATAAATGATATGTCGACCATTGTTTTTGAGAGGAGAATGATATTGAGGGTTGAGAGTTCGAGTTTGTAAAGCATATCCATAATTTTTTTTCTAGTGAGATGCCTTTTCAAGTTCAATGTCAGGGGGTGTCTGTCAATAAGTTTAGCACATAATCTTAAGAGGATGGTAATCGAAAGAGAATTAAAAGCTACTATCTTTTTTCAGAAGTTTTGGATACTGTTGTACTGGATCTTTTTGTTGATGATAAATGAATTTTTTAATACGGGATTATTCACGAGGGTGTTAATTGCACATTAATTGCTCTTATTCCAAACATTTGTGCATTTTGGGGATTTCTGACTTTCGCTAGATTAGTCTTTGACTAGACTATATAACGTCATTACTAAGATATTGACGGACAGGCTCAAGAAGGTGCTTAAATTTGTTATTTCAGGACCTCAAACAACTTTTATCAAATATCGAGTGATAACTAATGGTATCTTAATTGCACAAGAGTGCATCCACTCAAGGAAGTTGAGCAGAGAGCTAGGAATCGTGTTAATTGGATATGGAGACAACTTATGATACGGTGGAGTGGGGTGTGTTGTTGGATATGGGATTTAGGGAGAAGTGGAGGTCTTGGATCTATGGATGTATTTCTAGCGCTCATTTTTCGATCCTAGTTAATAGAAACCGCAAAGGTTTTTTTAAAACTTCAAGGGACTTCAACATGGTGGTCTACTATCTCCGTTCTTATCTACAATGGTTATCAAAGGCCTTTAGCCTCATGATTTCTAATGTGGAATCCAGCGGTCGATTCAGTGGGTTAAAGTTTGTTGCTAATAATATTGGACTTGTTATTTTACATTTGCAACATACAAATGATACACTACTTTTTTGAGGTGCAGAGTTGGAGGAAGTACAAAGTATAAAGTGTAAAAAGGTTGTTCCAATGTTGTGAGTTAATTTTGGAAAGACTTCAATGGTGGATATTGGTTGTTCTTAAGAAGTTGTGGAAGCGTTGGCTATTGCAATGGGTTGTAAGGTACAAGTGTCTCCTATCAAGTATTTGGGGGTGCCTATTTCAGATTGGAAATTGCCTAAATCAGTTTGGGACTCCCATTGTTCAAAGAGCGTTAAACTTGATTTATAAAAAACAAAGCATTTATATATGGGAGGAAGATTAGCCCTTATTCAAGCATCAGTATCTAACTTGCTGATTTATATGATGTCTTTGTTGGTGATGCTAAGTTTAGTTTGTAAACATATAGAGCAAATATGGGGATCTTATGGGGATGGTTGGAAATACAATTTGGTTAACTGGGAGAGGATATATACTCCTAAGAAGGATGGAGGGTTGGGAATAAGGAGAGTAAAGTTGGTTAATCAGGCATTTTTAGTAAATTGGTCGTGGCAGTTTTGTCATTAGGAAGTTCAATTATGGATGGAGGTATTGGTGACGAAATCATCCTACGTCTCATTTGATATGTAGGGGGAGAAGGGCGGTTGATCAATCTCCAATGTGGAAAGAAATTGTGGGCACAAGAACATTAGTGTCGAGTAGCTTGAGATGGGTGTTTGGTAAAGATAATTCTATATATTTTTGGCATAACAAATGGATGGGAGATAGTGCCTTAAAATTTCAGTTTTTTTAGATTTTTGCATTTTCGACCTTTCAGAAAGCTAAAGTTATGAAGATGATAGAAGTTGCAGGGGGTAAGTAGAATGGAGAGTTCAGTTGTCCCATAATAGGGTGTCGAATGCAATGATCTCACAGTATGCTGGTTTGGTGAACAATCTTAGTGCGTGTCGTATATCACAATTGATGGATGATGAATTGGTGTGGAAGGCTGAGAGTGATGGAGAGTTTAGTGTCAGATTTGCTTATGATTTGCAGTCTTATGATAGATTGAGATTGGATCATCCGTGTATAAACAAACTGTGGAGTTGGCCGATGCATTTGAAAGTGCGTGCTTACTTGTGGATATTATTTCAAGGAAAGACTTTATTTGTAGACAATTGGATGAAAAGGGGCATGACCATGGTTAATGTGTGTATTCTTTGTATAGTGGATGAAGAGTTCGGAGGCTATCTATTTCTGCATGGTTCATTTGCTTACAATATTTGGTGTTGGGTGTTCCAGTTATTGGGGTTGTGGATGGTCTTTCCAGGCTCTCATGTTGACATTTTGGATCATTAGACAGTAGAAGTTTAACAAAGGTAGGTAGAAAGATAGGGCAGATGGCTAAGGAAGCAGTCTTATGGGAGCTATGGAATGACAAGAATTTGAGGGTTTTTGAAGGAAGAGTAGTGGAGTGAGTGCGGTGAAATGAAGAGAATGATTACTCATAATATTTGGAGTTGGCTATCTATAACAAAAGAGGGATTTGGGGGATCTGAAGTTGATGTAATTGTTAATCTTGCAAGATTTGATCAGACAAAAGATGATTAAGGATCGACCTAGGGATGTTTGGAGACCTCTTATAAGTGGCAGTCTTAAGTTGATTTTTGATAGAAGCTCATATGGGAAACCGGGTGAAGCCGGTTTTGGAGGGGTTCTAAGGGATTCAAATGGTGAAGTGATTTTATGCTATACAAGACCCTGTGAAGTGACAACGGCGACTCATGTGGAGATGGAAGCTTTATTACAAGGAATTTGCTTCTTATGCCTTGTAATAAGGAAACTCGAATACCATGGAGTTTGAGAAGCAAGTTGATGGAGGTTATGGACATAAATGAACAATTGGAAGTTTTTTTCCAGCATGTATAGAGAGAATAATGAGGTTGCCGATGACTTAACAAAAACAGGGGTTCAATTGGGTGAGATGATTTCTGAAAATGTACTTCTTTGATAATGTATTGTATGTTTGTAATGTTTTTTTATTAATTAACGAAGTTATAGTATTCTTGAAAAAAAACACAAAAAAAAGAGAGAGCGGCCGCATTTTCAAATGGATTGAAGGCTTCGCGCAACCTTCATACTGCGTACTTTTTGCTTAAGCTAACAGTTTATGTAGTCCCCTAAGCGCATATAGTCTATGTACTCTCTTGAGAAAGAAACCAATCCGAGAGTATTTTGAGGACCTCAGGAAATGTATCATTTCAAGCCGTTGATTAATCAAAGTCAAATATTGTTTAAATCACACTCTCTATTTGCTTAAAAAAATAAAATAAAAAATGTCTAAAGATTGAATAGAAACGGTTCAATTTTGGATGGTGAGATCTAAGTATTAGATAACTCAAAATTTTTAATTTTTTTTAAATAACTATCTAGTGATTCCTAAAATTTCAAATTTGGAAAAAATCCTCCCGAGTCATCTACCCGAGGGAGTAAATGTATGTAGTATGTTATGGGATAACCATAAATAAGAAGCGTTTTTTCTCAACCCATTCTTGAGGAAAATTTGCCCCTAAAAAATGAAAATATAATTACCATTAAAAATATGGTAATTACGGAATGGTTGATGATGTGTTGCCTACACGTCTTGCCTAACAAATATTTTTCTTTTCAACTTCTTGCATGGATATTTCAAACATCAAACTGTATATTAGATTTTATTTGTTATTTTTGTGAAGTTTGAATCTGTCTAATAGGCTAAGGGTTTTTTTGAAATCAATTCGATGTTTCAAATATCGGATTGTCATAAAAGTTAAAATACTATTACTTGTTTAGGCCGATTTGATATTTGAAACATCAAACCACTTGGAACCTGAAAAAAAAAACATAAAAATAAATAAATAAATAGAAAGAAAGAGAAGAAGAAGTTCAAAATAGTTTTCAATATTAAAAATAACAGACCGCCTTTAAACATTAAAAAACAAGGGTAATATTTTAATTAAAGAAAGAGAACAATCATCCATGGAAACACGATTTGGACATATGCTAATGAGGATAAAGATCACGTGAACCGTGTGGCTTATAGGGTAGTATAGGCCGCGTGACCTAGATATAGAGATAATAATCTCATATATCCAAAAGGGTCATAATTTGGTCCACGTTATCTTTTTATATTTTTATTTGGAGCTATTCAACGAGGCCTATAGTGCACAAAATTTGGCGTCTATAATACTCGGACCTTTAAACCTTCCAAAAATGATATTTAAAAGCCATTTGATGTTAGAAACGTCATACCCATATTTTGAAGTGGTCTGATGTTTATAAAATAGAGCTACCTTTAAACCTATGAAGATTGAAGGCAGTCCTGCATTTTGAAAAATCATATAGACCCCAAGATGCCCACACCCCATCAATCAATTTTAAACTTAAAAAAAAGAAAAAATTATATCTGTTATAGTTTCTGTTATTACGACTGTATTGAATAGTTTCGATTATTACCATCGTTACTATTTTTTTCATATCAAAACAAAAAATTTTAAAAAAATGACTTTACCTTTTATCGGTTGTTCCACAACCGAAAATATATCAATTTCAATTTTTGAAAAACTAAAAAAATATTTTTGGTTGTTCAACAACCGAAAATACACCAATTTTAACCGAAAATTTAAACTTTTTTGTTGTTGAAAAACCAAAAAATTTAAAATTTTATGTTGTTGAATAACCGAAAAATATTTTCTCTCTTATGGCGCAATTTCTCTACCTCTCTAAAGTCATAATCATCCGATAAAATCAAAGAGAAACAACTAGTTTGGACCCTTAAATTTCGGAAAAGTCTTTGAGATTGAGATTAGAAGATTAGGAGACATCTTGTGGCCTATGCTCTCTCTACCTCTTTGAAATTATGGTTATACAATAAAATCGAGGAGCAGCTAGTTTGAACCCTTTAAGAGAACTATCAAAGATTATGAACTTACCAAAAAAAATGCTGGAGAGAGAGTTAAAAAAAAAAACCATTTTTACCCATGTAGAGAGAGAGGATAAGTAGACCAAAAAAAAGAAAATTTTAAATTTTTGATTACTCAAAAACTGAAATTGGCCTCGAGACTTCAGTTGCTCAACAACTAAAAAAATGAAGTCATCTTTTTTTTAAATTTCCGTTTTGACATAAAAAAAAATAGATACGTTAATAACAACGGAAACTATTCGGTAGAGCTGTAATAACCGATATATATGTAATTTTCCATAAAAAAAAATAAATAAATAAATTCAATCCAATATTTTAAACAAAAAAATAAAAATAAAAATTCGATCCAATACTTCAAACATCAAGACGAGGACGAGGTAAAGTTAGAAAAAAAAAAAATTAAGCAGTGGGGACCTCCACATAAATTTTGCATATTTTTGGATTTTTTCATAATAAAGGAAAAATCTAATGGTTCCTCAATAAATCCCCCTGTGGCCATCAAGTAGCCGCATGTCAACAGTACGTGGTCAATGATAGGCCATGCTCCAGGGGTCCTTAACAACTATGAATGGCCCATTTTTTGGCTTGTTCTGTGGCCATCTAGGATCCAGTTCAATCCTCTTCGCCTTTGTGGCTCTCATTTTTCTCGTCAGTAATAGAGTTTTTCAGCTGCTTGGCCCTATGGAGTCCATAGAGGAAAAAGTAAGCCTCTATCCCAACAATATTGAAGATTACTATCCTTTTCCTCATTGGCCTCCTCCTCTATGCAGGGGAGCGACTTAAGAAGTTCTGTGGCTTCTTACTGTTCCCTGCATTTTGTATTAGTTGGTCTACTATGTCTTATGCCTCGAATACGCTTCAGCGTGAGCTAAGATGTCCGTCAACATTAAAATTTACAAGACGGCCACCTCATACATTAACTTCAGAAGCTCTATCAAAGTAGTTCGATCCGAGTTTTTAGCACCTTTGTCCTCCCGACAGGCGAAGTGTCTCTTGAGTGAGTCTAATGCTAGAAGAGGTTGCCCTCTGTTTGGGGCTTCTACTCTCTGCCACTCCTTACTTTCTGAACTATTTCCCCAATCTCCCTAATAAGGTTGCTAGTCGATTCTTCTGATTCCCTGTAAACCTGAGCACTAATGTTGTTAATGTATCCACCATGATGGAGAACAGAACTAGGGGAAGCATCAAAGATCAGATCAAGTTGCTCTTTTGTCCGATTGCTCTAATACCATTTCCTAATGAGTTAGAGTTTGCACAACCAGGCATTGCTCCTTTTGTAGCAAGTTATTTGAAAATGAAACTGATTCCATCATCCCCATGGTCTTGGCAGGTAGGTCTTTTGACCCAAGTATCACCATTTGGGACCTTGTTGCAAGCTGGTGCTCCAGACTAGTGGTTATGAACACATCATCGTGATGCTCCCAATTTTTCCACAGGTGAGACTTCTTCTGCAAAGGGCGAACGATACCCTGACGATCTTGATGAGCATCGGAGTTTGGATGAGCTAATGGCGTTTGAAGGGGTTATTAACACCCTTGAAATCTCTCCAATGATTCTGCCTCATTTGTTGCATTCTCGTATCTTGGTAATGGACTATAACTACTTTGAACTTTATTTTATTCATCACATCTTGTGACGAATGGGGTTCGTCGTACCAGAAAAAGCTGATAATAGTGTTTTCTTTCCTCTGAGAACAAATTACGTTAACCTTCTCCATATAGCCGTGTCATCCTGGGTGGACAGGACAGCATACGAAGCTTGCTAAGGAACATTTACCCCCAGCTTTCACCCTCACCCACCCTGGGCTGCAGGAACCATGAGAGAGAGGAGTTACCTCTTTTTTTAGGAAGAAACAGAAAATTAAGGAAGATAGAATAAGAATAAAAAGACTCAGAAAGTAAAGAAAGGGATCCCAACAAAAGCATGCTAGGGGTACTGCTACCCTTGGCACACCATCTATACAATGATCTTAAGTTTTCTAAGGCACTTAATCAACAGGGGACTCAAATTAAGGAAAAAAAGAAGGAAACAGTTTATATAAGGTTGCAACCTTCAAATGTAGAATTACAGATGCACCTAAAAAATCCAACAGAAAGGTTGTTATAATGTTGAAAAACCCTCTAATTGATCATCTAGACATCGAGATGTATGAATATGAAAAAAAAAATGTTTTTGAGTCTCAAAAATAGTTCATCTTGCAACACATTATCTAGACCATCCATTTTCAAGATTTTTATATGTTTATAGATCAACTTGATTTTAACCATTTTTGGAGAAATTTTTCTAATTAGATATAAAAATAGATTTTAAGATAATCCTAAGAATTTTTTACAACAAAATTACATGTTATGATAAAATTTAGAGGTGCACCTTAATTGGATTGTTTAAGGTTGCAATCTTATAGAAACCACACCCAAAAGATAATAGGAATTAAATAAAAGGAAAATAATTAAATAACTAAAAAGAAAGAAAGAAAGTATCTGGGTGAAGACTGATGAATCAGATTTGAATGAATGATTGTCATGAATAGTGTGGAGGGAATATCCCTAAATGCGACGTCACTGGAGCAAATGAGAACTGATATCCGAAATTAGAAAGAAATGATCTAGGGTTCTTGAGGATCAGTTTCTAGGGTTAGGTATAGGATCCTAGGGTTAGATATGGGTTTGTGGTATTGATCTAAATCTTTGGGCTGAACTAAGGCTCGCCTAGGGTTGAACTAGGCTTCAGGCTAACCTTGGGCTGAACTGGGGTTTCTGATCCTAGGACTAGGGTATCTACGGTTTCTAGTCCTAGGGCGGGGGTATCTAAGGTTTTAATCTTCTTCTCAAAGAGTTGGAAGACCTCTCAGAGTTCTAGGAACTCTTTTTATAGAGGCCCTTGATGCTTTTTTGGAAGATCTCTAAGAGTTTATGAGAGTTTCTGGATGCTTTAATAAGCAAGGGAACCCGTATTTATAAGTTTGGAGGCTAGGCATATTAGAAATTAGACGATGTGGGACTAGGATTTTAAATGTGTAGACTTATAACAGAAAACACGTATGGGACTGTATGTTTAGTATTTTGCCCAGAACTTTCAAATCATATATTAAAATTGAGTGATTCTTGAACCAATAGAAAACTTCAATTTCGATTTCCTACAAGATCGAATAAGCTCTAATGTGAAAATGAGTGTGTTTCCCTATGGTAAATCCTATGGGAATTAAAGGCGTACCAGTATGGTCTATACAAGTATCCAAGGGGTGTTACAATGTATTGGATGATTCCTATGGGTAATTGGGAGTTCTGCTTATGGCCTGAGATGAAGAAACTACTAAACCAGATATAATATAATGATCTAAATCTGGAGTGGTCACAAGGACCTGAAGCTCACATGGACTAGTGAGTACTTATCCTAGTGGGATCTCTTGAAGCCTCCTCCAATCCTTCATCGATTACTCAAAGGATCCAGGAGGCCTTATGTGGTTTTAGAAAAGGAGAAGCTTACCAAAGCTAGACAAGAGCTGGCCAGGTCGCAAGCTTTTAAGGGAAGCTAATGTCTAGGGCTATAATAAGGAGCACAAGGATTTTTCAGATTTTGAATCTTGTTTAGTTGTTCTGAGCTGTTGGCTGCTGTACGCCCTATTTCAGCATCTGACACCTGCTTTCACTTTTTTCTTTATGTAACTACTCTTCTCCAAGGGCAATTTTAGAAAACGTCCCATCGGCGATTGATTAACTGAGTAGCAGTATTACCACTATTGCAGTTAAATGCCTTTTATCTTGGAAAAGAGAAGCAGAAAGACTGGATTGAGATAACCTTAAAAGATGCAAGGAAGCTCTTCAACCTCATACCTCAACAAATTCTTGTGCCTTGGAATGTACATACATCACTTTATGTTCTTCATAGACTTTGACACCAGCCCGTATCTATTTTTAAAGAAACGGAGATGAAACCTCTCTCTATTATCTGCCTGAAAATCTCTCATTTCAAACTGTCAAAAGCTTTTAAGCTTCTTTGAATCCATGAAAACCAGATACATTACCCCAACTGACGAGTATTATGCATCAGTGGCGATGTTTTAGGCCGTTATAATAGATTCTAAGAAGCTGAAAAATTTGTGAAGAATATTCCATTGAAGCCAAATGCATTAGTTTGGCAAGCCTTACTCGATGCTTCCAGGGTCCATGGCGATCTAGAGAATTATGCAGTAAAATCCCTCCTTGAGCTTGAACCTCGAGAACTTGATGCTTATGTACTAATAACAAACCTCTATTCGGCATCAGGGAGGTGGCATTGCTCTGAAAAAATGAGAGAGAAGATCACAGAGAACGGGTAAAGAAGCATCCAGCAAGGAGCTGAATAATATATAAGAATCAAGTGCTTTCTTTCTATGCTCGAGATAGATCACACCCACAGGCATGATATTTACAGTGGCTTGGAGTTTATGATCTTAAGAGCACAAAAAAGAGTGGGATATGAACCTGATACTAGCTTTGTTCTCCATGAAGCAGAGTATCAAACAGAGCACTTCTTGTTCTTTCATAGCTCAAAAATGCCAGTTACTTTTGGTCTCTTAATGACTTGTTTTGGGAAGCCTGTGAGGGTTGGGAAGAATATGTGGAGATTGCCATAAACTCATGAAGATTGTGTCCACCATAAAAGGGAGAGAGATTTCTTCGGGAGATGGCTTCCATTTCTTCAAGGGAGTGTATGCTCTTGTGGAGCTTGGCGGTGATTTGAATCCTAAGACTGATGAATATTAGAAGCTGAGCTCTGTATCAATACCCCATTGAAATTTGAAACTTTTTTAAACAGATTCTCTCTGCAACTCACATTTTGTCCTGCAACTTTTAGAAGACTTGACAACACACACTCTCTCTCTCTCACACACACACACAGAGGAACAAACAGTACAATTTCTTAATAAATATTAGCCAGAATCTTAAAACTACAACAATATTTGCTTCCATTAATTTCAACACCGCTTTCTGTCGTGCTTAATCAGACTCACAGATGAAAACCGAAGGTTAGACAAAATCTAAGTGATTAATCCTAATTACCAAAATACCCACATGTGTGTTATCCTTCATTTAATGCTGAAGAATTTAAAGTACAAACAGCTAGTGGGTCTGAAGGGATTGCATTTTATGCCAAGATACAACATCTTTGTATACCAAATTACCACCAAATATATCAAGAGCACTTCCCACTGTAACATCCACGCGTCCCATGCCTGCGGTTTTTATCGTCTCCAAATCATCAAGAGTTGTAACCCCACCAGCATATGTAACTGGAATCTGACAGGAGGTTAAAATATCAGCATCATCCATGCTTTCTTTTCTTCAGCCCTTTCTTCTTACTGTTTTATTATTATTTTATTTTAACATCTCCCTTTTCTTGTTTTGTTGGATGGGAGTTCAAGAAGATTCGAGGATCAATAACCAAATTTCTGAAATCTTCATATTTTGGTATATTTGCAGAAGATGTTTTTGACAGTTTGGCTAGTTATTGAAAATCAATAAAGGAGAAGTTATTTAAAAAAAACAAATCATGCGCAATTGGTTGAGATATAGAAATATGGTTGAGTATGTTTCTTGAAATTTATTAACCGCATTTTAGTCCAGAGTGCCAAGAAGCTAACCAAGAAAAACCGCAGAACAATATCACTAGAAATAATATTATGCTAAGTAAATCATAATCATACACTCACAGGGGAGAAACGGCCGAGTAAAGCCACTAGCTCTTCATCAATTCCCAGTCTGCGAAAGCGCACAAAAATAATTCATGCAGATGCCAATGCATGCACAAATGGAGAGAGAGAGAGAGAGAGAGAGAGAGAGAGAGAGAGAGAGAGAGAGAGAGAGAGAGAGTACGTACGTACTACGTACTACTACTACTACTACTACTAACGTAACTAACGTACTACGACTACGTACACGACCAACGAACGTAACCGTAACCGTAACCGTACCGTACCGTACGTA